CAGCAAACACTCACACGCACACTCTAATAGAAATTAGCCAATCAGTCTATGTCAAACACAAAATGAATTAAAATAATAAAGAAAAACTTCATAAAACACAATGAAACCCTCATACCGCTACCATGTGAGGTGCCACGCATACGCTCCACATGCATATACGTACTTTGGATGTGCTACTATTCTGCAGTGAAGCGAAATACTTCAGGCGAGTTTTGTGGTAGGTGGTCTTGTTAACAGGACACGCGCTCGAATGTTCTTCAACACAAATCTGCACCGATGGCAACACTGAGTTACAAAATCAAATATTTTACATAGATAGAATATAATAAAAGTTTTCGCAAAATTCTATTGTAAAATATTCTTGCACTGGCAATGCACTAGCACATGCAAGAGAAAAACATCCTAACCGCAGAATGTCCTCTCCCGTCGCTTCGCTTGCTTCGACTAGCGACGATAGCGACGCGAACTGCGTTCCGCGGCGAAGAAACACGAAGCGGAGCCGAAACCACCCGAAAATGTCACGGACATTGGAGACTGCGCACTGTGTATGCATTCAGGTATCCTGCGCCTGAGAGCAAGTGAGAAAGAAAATGAGCGAATCAGCAGGCACGTCAACTTCGCTCCGGCCAATGAAAAAGTTCCACACTTTGAGCGCCATCATCCAAATTTGCAATATATCTTTCTCAGAGAAAAATGGTACCAAAATCTCTTTTAAAATGTGGATAAATGAGTATTTTACCCGTAAACAACTATTTTCCTTTGTTCTTTATTCTCGTTAGCTGTACATGTTCTTTTGCCTTATTACGAACAGATTAAGTTCATAAATTTCATAATGAAAATTTGGAGTATTTTGAATACCCCTTCTACCGCGATTGAACCCTCCATAAAAATTACGTAACGCTTGTGACAACCCACAACCCCTATGTAAATGCAGTAAGTGAAAATAAATTATAGTTCAGTAAATAAGAGCATTCATTTCATTCATTCAGTAACAACTTCTAATAACTTAATATAGTTTACCATTATATACCAATAACCTAAATAATTAAAACCATTTCTTAATTGGTGAGGCAATGGTAGGCACGAGCCTATTGTCAAATACAGTTTGTACAAATGGTAGGCATTCACATCAAACAGTTAAAAAACCTACAATTGAAGATGACATTTGTAATTGCAATAAGTACTACTTTTTCAATATAATATTGTGATCTGATAACGTTTTAGGGAGTCTTAGATCTACACCAATTCAGTATCCTATATCTATCCACAATTGGCACCACTTTTGATTGTTGCACAGTTGGGTTTAAACGAAACCCGAAACAACACTGCATGCCTCTGGGCTTTATTACACAGTGCCACAGGTCAAAAGCGATTTGTTTTATTTGTGTTGGAAACTAAATATTTCATTATTTCTAAATTACAAGAAATGATTTTGTTTTCTATATAAAATATTTTGTTTATTAAAATACAAGTGAACAAAGAATCGTGATGGTACAAATAACGTTTTACCAGCGTCATCCCTTTGGATTTAATATATCATGTAAATCAAAGTAATTGCGTACCAACCTAACGCACCTTCAGTCAAACTTCAAATGGAATGCACATATAACAGAATTAGCACTAAATTAAGGTCATTATGTTCTGTCAGCCTTCATGCAGCTAGTTGTGTGCATTTTGCAAATATACATTCCCGCCTGAGATATGGCATACTATTCTGGGGAAGCTCATCATGTAGTATCCAAACTTTAAGATTAAAAAAGAAAATTATTTGAATAATGAAAAAATGCCATTGGCGATATCCCTACAAGCCTCTTTTCATTGAGCTTGGAATCTTACCATTGTTTCGTCTATTTATTTACGTAATAATTACTGTAATATTCGTCAAAACTAACTTACTTTACGGTGGGAACATATTTTCATGCAATACTGACATTTATAATTACAACACGTCGTAGAAATCACATTCATCAAGTATCAGTATCAACAGCTCACTACCAGAAATCCACATACATGTACGTTACTTTACAACGCATTGCCAGATGACATTAAACTATTGATGTCGGTACACAAATTTAAGTTAAAAGTAAAATATTTTCTGCTGCATAACAGTTGCTATACAATTAGAGTCTATACTGATCATCAAAAAGAAAAACTTTTTTTTAACAAAACAGTGATATATAATGAATTAGTTTATATTAGTATTGTATATTTTTTAAAGACTTAATATGAATGTAACAAATAATGTACTTTAGCTTCCGGATCAATAACCCCCATCTCGATCAGGTTTTCGTCCAGTTTCCGTTATACATTGCGCAAATGCTGAAATGGTCCCTTGTTTTGCTTCTGGAAGTAACTGTAGCTTCACTATGAGGACGTTTTGTTGAACTTTTCTTTTCCTTGTAGTGGTAGGAATAGAGATAAGGGCGAGTTATTATTTTGTTACCAATGTAGAAGAAAAAATCTGCAGTTCATTCACTGTTGCAAATAAGTTTTCCATAACTCGGGAACGAAAATGTTTTGTTTTTCAAATGTCGCTCATCTCGTGCTTTTTTAAAAATTTTATTTTTATTTATTTATCTTTAAATTTTACTAATATTTAAACTATTTATAGTTAAAATGGTGGGAAGGGGTTCTGGAACTGAAGAAAACGTGCGCAGAATATCTTCTCCTCCATACGTCACATAGTTGTTACTGTTTTTTGACCAAATAAATCTAACCTAAATCATTCAATTTTACTTGCCACAGTATGCACACACGTCGTAAAAAGAAAGTATTGTAATGCTGCAGCGGAAACTTCTCTTTCGTAAAACTCATGTTGTGGGTCCTAAAGTGAATAAATATTGTACCTGCCTGAGGCAAATAACTTCCTTTAACAGTTTGTGAAGTCATAATTCACGTTATGTGGGTGCTTGAGACTGAACAATCGATTGGTGGCCAAACGTCAATCAATCAGTATGATTGTGTGTCAGTGGTCAACCCTAGCGCCTAAACCCTTCAGATGATTTTCTCCAAAATTGGTATTCTTCGATTGATCTTGCCGAACTCAAGACCTTGCGAATTTAAAACAGATGCTTTTATTTTGTGGGATACATTGCATGATGTCTCAACACTTCCATTTTTTTTAAATACTCCAATTTTTTCAGTAAATTGTTTTCTCTGGTACTCCTAAGGACGCTTAAACATTTTTTGGCGTCAAACGCGGAGACACCCAAAGAAGAAAATTGAGCTCTTGCAATTTTCGAAACTTCAGAGCTTTTGATGATACACGCCATACCAGTAAGTGGAAGAATTTGTGCAAAAAACAAAGACAAAATTTCGGAGCTTTTTATTATATTTAGGTATTATTCTGAATTGTCACGATTTCACTGAATTTCACGCGAAATTTACTTATACTTTCAAAAATCCGTACCTGGCATTATTTAAAAGTTTAATTTCGAAGCGCCTATTTTGTGAATAAATAAATATCTTTAATAATGTTGATGTAGGAAGACGACTAATTCAATAACTTTTGTAATTTTTGAAAATTCAAATGTTTTACTGAAAATTGGGTTTATATCATTGATACAAGCGTACTTTGTTGTATGAGAACAAACAATTTAACGAAAAAATTGAAACCAACTACTTCACGTAAATAACTCTGAAGAATTATAATATCCGTTTTAAATTCGTGGAATATCAATTTTGGTGAAAGTTCTGTGCGAGGTCAAGACAGACGTAGAAACAGACACCTGGAAATAAAACACACACTTTTTCGGTATCAAGGACACACAAAACGTGCATTCGCATTACATTTCGTATTCAGGAAAGTAATTTACTTCACAGAGAAGCAAGGCTAAATCAGGAACCTACAAAACGTGATTTTCTGACGAAAAATGGGTATTTCCGCTTTTTCATTAGAAATACATAGAAAAGAGAATGTTTTAAAAAAGTGTCATTTTTTCGACAGACAATTTTCGTTATTTTTTATTTTTACCAATGCTGAGAAACCTTGATCCTTGTAAAAAAATATAAAATTTGTTTGATGCGGATATTGATCACAGAAGTGTGTAGTTCAAAATCCCACAAGGATACGTAAGTCGGATATATATATATATATATATATATATATATATATATATATATATATAAGGAAAACTATTTAATTGTTGTACCAGATTAGAAAGAATTTTTTCAATTTAAAGTTCAATGACTTACTTTTGTGGCCGTCAGGAACGTCTTTGAGATTTACATTGAATGGAATTCTTATAAATCTCCACACATCATCAGAGACGGTTGTCGTATTCTGAGCAAAAATATCCAATGTATTCTTCTTAATCTAATGGCTTCTGTAAGAGAGACAGAAATTTGGAGTTTTCCAGTTTGATTTCTTAGCATTTCAGACGAACAAGAGTTTTAAAAGCAAGAGGAACGGCATGGTAATAGTGATGCAATGTATAACGTTTATTGAATTTACCAAACCAGATATCTAATTTCGACAGTTTATCTTCAAAGATGAATATATTGGCTGGGCAACATTCCAGAACTCTGTAGTTTCGAATTCAATTTATTCTGCATTTTCGATCCATTTGCAATAATAAAGTTAGACACAGTTGCTCGTGCAAATACGTCATTTCTTTCTCTATCATAAACACTCTTAACTACGTTCAAAAATCATCCTGATCAGAGACAATTTCCTTTTAACAACCAACGGGCCTCGGCGTAAAGTAATAAAAGACAATGGTTTGTATTAATTTCAGCTTTATGTTTCAGAACACTATATTCAACAAAATAACATATTAAGATGGAATCTTCTCAAAAATTTAGTTCGTGTTCAGTTACTTCTTTTTAATGATAGATTTTGCCAATACCCAACATTGAATTTACATTTGCAGTGAAATTTAGGTGAAGGATTGCAATTTTTTAGTTCAAGCCGTTGATTTAAATTTTTGTATTATAACGTAATTTATTAGATCATTTCCTTTAAAAATTTTTAAATGGAAGTCATATTAGTTGGAAATGAATATAAAGCCTGAAAGATTATTAGGGAGGTCTAAAGTGTTCTCTAATCATTGCGGAACATCGAGCTAATCCGAAGAAACTCTGCGAACTTTCGAGGTAGAAGGTAAGCGCATGTGATAGAAATTGTGAGCCAAATTGTGAATGTGAACTAGACGTTGTACCATGTTTTTATCTCATGAGATACTTGCGAGTTCTGTATAAACCATAGATCAATAGTTTTGTGTAAAACTTGTTTTGGATCATTGTTAATCGAGAGAAGTACGGTCATGACATTTTTTAATGAAA